CTGCCCGGCCCGGTAGGGGCGGGGGCACGGCGCTCCCCCTCCCGCTGGGTAATGGTGGACGGCGCGGGGGGGAAGCGCGAAGGCACCGTTGCCCTCGGCTGGTAACGGCACACAAAGGGATTTGGCGACCCCCCTCCTCCCCCCGCCCCCGGCCCGGTTTAAGGCACCATTCATAATTCTCCACATTCGTACGGATACAATGGTGGGCTTGTGGGGGAGGGGTTTGGGGGTGTGGAGCCTTTCCAGTGCAAACAAAATGTTGCCTGAAGATGAAGAAAGGATACGGAAATGAAAGCCAGCACTGTGTTTAATATAGCGATCTAGTAGGTTTTGTTTAATAATTCAACGCCCTTTAGCCGAAGGTTTCATTTATGCCGCGGTAGGCTTCTTGCGGTACGTTTTAATAGGTATATCCATGGAAAATGGTTAAATACTTTTATTAGCGAGCAGCGACTGGCTTTCCACATGTCCTGTAGCCCGTCTGGAATTCCGTCGTAAACAGGAACGCTTCCTAGTTTTGTGCCTAACTTCTAACAAGTAGACGATTAAAGAGGGGGGATTTAAACCCCCCGGGAAGCCGTGCTTCCAAGGCGGGCTTTTGCCGGCCGCCGCAGCTCGGCCGCGGCGGTGGTGGTGGTACCCAGGGCTCGGAGGGGGCGCGGGGCAGGGAGGGAGCCGCTGAGGGTTTCGCTTGTGGTGGGATGATGCAAGGAGACATGTCTTACCATGAGGGCTGGAGCCCCAGAGCGTTGTGAAATTAGCAGGGGCTGGGTGAACGTTGCAGCAAAGTTGGAAATACGGCCCTCGCCTTGCGCGCATCCGAGCGCTTGGCTCGCCGAGAAACTAATATTTGTGATTTCAACCCATTGTTTAATCTCAGTCTCGTTTTTATGAACTTCTGATGGTCAGCTCGTGATCGAGGAAAGCGAGTGGTTTGTGTTCCACTCGTCAGAATTTAATCACAACTTCCATTTTGTAGAAAATTAGCAAATAATGATCGTGGGGATAGAGAGAAATTTTTTTTTTTCCTACAGTATTAACCTGTTTATGACTTTTCGATGCTGGATGTGGCATTTTTCCTAAATGAATTTGTATTTCATAACCCCATCCTGTGTAGTCTGGCTAAAACAAACAATCGCCTGTCCAAGTTAAAAACAGCCCCCTCCAAACTACTGCATTCTTAGTTAAACTTGTGAAAGGAATTAGCCACCGTTCTTGCAGATTAATTGCATTCTTTATAAATTTGATTTGCACTGAATCTATAAGGCAGTCTGCATGTGCTCATTTCTACATGGTTGGTCTATGGCTTTATCTGGTATTTCCTCTTAAAACTGCTAAGCAGGGTGTCCATACTTCATTTCATATTCTAGTGCGATAATCTGTTTTGCTGGAAGATTATTTTTTTTTTTGAGAAATGATGATTGAAAGTTCATTATAACAATATGCATCCGTTGTCCAATAACATCATAAACCGCTTTGTAATCAGATGATTGGAAAAAAACCCTTGCTTATTAGCAATCCTGGGTTTTTTTTGATTCTCTGAAAACATCTTACTAATAAGCTGAAATATTTTCTGTAAAGCTAAATAATGTATAGCTTGCTTTGTCAAGAAGTGTGGGTTGGTTGGTGGTTTCAAGAGTAAATCCAAATCCTGAATGCCAAAAAAGGCAAGTCAACAACAAAAAACTTGCTCGTGCTGCCTGACAAATCTCCCCTTCCCTGTACGGATGAACACAGCTCAGATCAATTGGGCACTCCCAAATCTTAACGTTATTGAGAAGATAGTTTTACAATTTGAGGTGTAATTTATTTTGGCAGTCACAAATCAAATGCATGAGCACGCATCAGAGCATTCTCACAGTGAACATTTTTTTTGAGCCACCTCTGTAAGAAAAGGCATTATAAAAATTTTCTTTTCTGTATTATAAATGTTTATCACCCACACAAACCAAGAAGAAGTTAAAATACTTACATAAATATTCTACACAAGGAAGCAAAGCCAATCTTTAATTAGCAAGGGCTTTTACGACAGTCTGCCATTTAGAATTAAAACTCAACCATGTGCTTCTTCCCACCTCCGGGGTGAGACACCGAAAGCCTCCGCCGTGTCCACCCACCCCCTCGCCCACGGTCACGGGTGGGC